TCTTTTTTTTCAAGGCAACGCAGCAAAGGGCCATAATTTCGGGGGTTTGGGAGGGCGGGTACATATATCGTTAATAATAATAAAAAAAACCTCTAGAGAGGCTCACGTGGTGCGCTATCTCCTTAAGTTGTAAATAGAATAACGAAAAAAAAATTGCTTCTGTACTACTATCCTTTCTTCAAAAATAAACAACACTAAATAAAAAAAAAAGAATATTTGATTATAAAAAGCAATTTAAAAAGACGGTATTCACTTTTAAATGACATAGTTTATCTTACGACAAGTGAGACAGCAAATTGTTTCTCAATGAGAATTTGTCAAGCGTAGGCCGTAGCTGGAGATGTTTACATGCAATAAATCAGTCAAAAATCTATTCAAATTACACAGTCACGGGTATATTAGCTTGTCACGTGACATGCGCGACCCACGTGATAACACCACCCAATATAAGGCGTCATACCAACTTTAAACTTTAACCTTATTCGTATTCTTTTTACTCCAATTATAAACTTGTTTTTTTTGGTTAGTTAAACTGGTTTGACAAGATTTCCAAACCTGTTTTAAACCTGACCCGAATTAGTTAACCTACCTGTAGTCTGTGAGATATCTCAGGTAGTTTGGTTATCGCTGGTTCTTTGTAAACGTATTCTTCTCCGTCTAAATCACCAAACTTCGACCCGTAGAAACCCACACGGAAATAGGTCCCCATCATACGCTTACCTTCCTAAAAACACCCAAAACAAATAGCTGGACTTGATATAAGTTAATTGAAACATGGACCAATAACAATATTAACGGCAGTACAGTGGAACCCCAGTAATCCGGCCCAAAGCGACTTCAAAAACGCTCGTATTAAGSKGGTGGTCATAAGGCGGGGCTCCACTGTACCACCAACACCAGCAGCATCCGTGGTGAGAAATAGTTCAGAAACAACAGCTTTAAGGTGAACAAGGTGAACTTTTGTGGGGCAATTCTTTGATATGTGATTGAATTAGCAATAAATCTTGTGTGCTTTGCCTAGCAAAGTGCTCTTTAAAATGTAAATAAAAAATCTTGTGTGATTGGCCTACAGCCAAGCACTCTCTACATGTAAATAMAAAYCATATCGGACGTCTTGTGTACTTGGCCYACTGCCAAGCACTCCTTAATTGTAAACTGAAAAAATGTTGTGTGCTTCGCTTAGCTAAGCACTCTTGAAATGTAAATAGATCTAAAATTTGATAGTATATAATAAATTATTTCATTAATAAAAAAAAAAAAGGTGAACAATAACACCCAGTATCATCAACAGCACCGGCAATAGCTCACACGAATAAAAGCAACATCGATAGTCTAAAAGGCTTCAACAAAAAGAACAAAAACATAYCAATAACAACAAAACTTACAGCTAACAAACAGAATAACAAYARAAA